TCTGCTTCAGCCTCTCCTACGATAACTCACCCAAATCTTAAGACCAGCAATGTGGATCTTAAAGCAGTGCATTTCTCAAAGGGCTACGATACACCCAGGTGGTCCTTGGAATAGGGGTCAGGAAGCAGTTCCACGGGGACCATCCTTCTTCCCCCAACAGTGGGGTTGTGGTAAATGCTAGCATACAAATCAAGGGCCCCATAGCTCCTTTCCACCACCCCCATGCCAAGGAGAACCTGACGTTTCAAGCAGAGGCATCAATGCATATCAAAGAACTTCCCTTCTCTGCTAGGAGCAGGTCTTTTGCCCAGCTAAAGTGTTTTCATTCCCCACTCAGGACCAAGTCCCCCAACATCCTTTTCATCAGAACAGGGGACAACAGATAATTTCTAGGAAAATTCAGGTTCTTGAGCTGCTATGGGGATTGCAGCTAAGAGCGGGGTCTCAACAGTGGTGGCAGCAGTGATGACATCATTAACCCTACCAGGGCTGCACCATGACATTGCTGCCACCATGCATGAAGGGGAGCCCCTCGATTCTGGATGAGGACTGCCTTCCTGCTCTGAACGACTCAGGGATGGGGCGTCTGGAAAGATCCAGTGAAAAATATCCCAAGTGGAGGCATATTTTTCCATGGAGGGATAGCGGGCCACGGTTTCTTAACAATTCCATTTTGTTTCATCTTCAGTGACAAAAGAGTACAAAGATGCCTTCTTTAGTAAGATTAGAGTCACGAATTAGCATACGGACTCCAGCAAACTAAAGGAGGCAGAAATGGTAATGAGAAGCAACAAGGGGTAGGTAATAGATTTGAGAACATGAAGACAAGCAATAAAGCAATCAAAAAACAAATCAGCTTGGGAAATTGGAAAGCAGGGGTGGGGCAGGCTGGAGAGGAGTTCATCAGATAGGATGGGGAGGGGTGGGCTTCTGATGCTCTTAAAAAAGAGTGACAGGGTGGGAGGACAGGGTTCGGACGGGAATCCAAGGAGCACCCAAATTGCTGCCAAGGTTTAAAAAGAAGTGTCAGTCAACTGTAAATTAAAACTATCCATCAGAAAGCCACTCGAGCAGGAAGAGAGAAACCAGAGAGGGCAGAAATTACATGGGCTTGATCAGAGAAGGTGAATAAAAGTAGGAAATTGCCAAAAACCAAGAAAGGAGGCTGTGCCTGTGAGAGAGAGAGACCTGAATGTATTCAGTGCACCCACAAGTTTCGAGGACAGGAAATGCAGGACACATCGTTTCACTGGCTGGGTTCGCACAACACGAGAATCCATCATGGGTCACCAGCCATGCTGGGTTGTCACGTCATGTGAACCTGGTCCACTTATCAGAAGAAGGTTTTTTTCCCCAACCCCCCCCCCCCCCCGATTGGTCGTTTCTTTCCAGCAGGTTGCCCTGAGAACTGATGGGGTTCAGTGAAGGCTGTTTAGCCACATGCCTCTTTGTCGAAACGGTCCCCGTCTAGCCCTGCCTAAATCCCTTGTCCTCAGGGGAACTCCAACATTTGACAGCAAGTGTCAGTGAAAAGAGATGTGTCAACTCGTCCACCTTCCTGAGCACTTCCTTTCCCACTTCCTCAGCACAACTCCCAAGCATCTTGCTTTGAAGAGGGAAAAATCTCCCCTTTCTCCTTTCACGTGCAAGATGCACTTGCAGCTTTGCTCTGAGCTGACCGCTAGCCCGACTACGGCTGTCAGGGGAAAGCGAAGTCAGGGAGCACCTTATCCAGAGACTCCCTGACAGCAGGTGACCTCTAGGACATCAGCCAAATATGCGCATTTGGGGTGTATATTAAATAATATGCATTTTAGGGCTTTGGATGGACTTTCACTGGCTGTCAATTTGAGGATCGCTGTTCAAGTTTTATGCAGGGGAAAGAAGAGGGGCTTGCAATATGTGCAAACGGGCTTGCAAGTGTGGCGGAGTTTTGTCCAAGGGACCCTGAGCTGCCCAAGCGAGTGGCAAATGGAGAAAGGGAACTTCCATCCCAGGATTCAGACATGGCACCAGTGTCGCTGACTTCTGGGCAGCCAGGTTAAGAGCAAGGCACTTCCGTTCTCCCAGGCACGCAAGGAATGTATTTTCTACCTCTGCTCGTTCTGCCTTTTATTGAACCCTCTTTAAAAACACGGCTGGCTTTTCTGTTCGCATTGTTCTCAGCCACTGTGATGGCTTCTCAGCATAAAGCCGGGGTAAATAGAAGAAGCAGAGAATAATGTTTGAACAGTCTTCTGTGCAGAGTTTTTCTGAACTAAGGCTTTGTTTGGCATGAATGGATGGAGAACTCCACCTCCCTGGGAGTGTATCCCTTCAGTGCGCAGGAGAAAGTTTGTATGACTGATGGTGTCTTTGGGGAAGAGAAGAGCACCCCGTGGATGTGTGAATGCCGCATATCAGGATATGGACCAGGGGCGATGTTTTCAATGTTTTCGTAGATGCCCTGCTCCCAGGCATTTGCACGTGTGAAAAGAGCATTATATAAAGGAGGAGAGCTGCTTTTAAACTGGCGTTCTGAAGGTTGCAGAATCTCCTGGAGAAGTTTGCCTCCAAAGGTCTACCGTGGGGGAAGGAGGTGGATAAAGGCTGCTGAGAGTGTTTGGGTGTCACTTCACCCTGGGGGATGCGTGTCTATTAAAGGCTTCATGAACAAGGGGAAGTGATCCAGCTGAGGGTGGCCGATCCGAAATACCAGCCCATCTGTTTGCAGGGCTTGTGGATGGCCGGAGCCAGCTCCACACTGACTTTTTCTGGACCCGGGAGCAGAGAAATGGCAGGGAAGACAAATCAAGGTTTGCTTTAACTGAAAGGACTCCTTTTTCTCCTCCCAGCTTTTCTTATTGAAATGTTCGGGGCTAGTGGACCTGGATACCCTCGTGCCTGCCTCCTTTGCACCCGTTGCCACGCAACCCGCGCGCTCTCGCGTCTGCCCTTCAGGATCCAGAGCATCTGTCTTTCCGTCTCCTCCTGGGCTCCTCCGAACCCAGACAGAGGCTCGCTTGTCTTTGCAGCACATTTTCCCCTGCCCCAATTCCAGTCTCCTGCCACATTTGCTTGCCTCTAATTAGGCTAAGCAAAAACTGTGCTGCAGTTTATTTTGGAAATGAGGTACACACACAGACAGCCTTCCTCCTGCTCCTGACCTGCCTCCTGGTCTTTCATTAATTAGTTTTCCGAGTTCCCGATGCAAGAAGAAAAGAATCCCTTTAGGTGCTTTCAGTTTGGGCTGGATGCGGAGAGGGGACAGCAGAGTGGAATGCCCTCACAGCTAACGAGCCATTATTATTATTATTTTAAGGTGAGGTGCCACCCCTGAGCACAAGTTAGTGGTGCCAGTCATTTGAAGAGCCCTGTGAAAACTCTGGCATCAGAGACAGCGCAACGCTGCACACCTTGCGGGTGAGATGAGTGTGGAGAAAAACGGACAGAGGCCGTTGCTTTCTCTGGAGGTTGCTGGGATGTGCCATTGCGACGTAGACAATGCTTCTGGGAAAACCAGAGGCCAGAGCTATTTGTGAGGTGGGGGAGCTCAGGGCAGGAGCTTCCTCCGAGCATTCCTCCGGGATGCTCACGACGCCTCTGGCACAGGCTCGCTTGCGGCATCCGTGTTTTGTAAAGCTGCTGTGGACCTTTCCGGGCTCTTGCTGAAAGTTAAATTCCCCGTGTGTGGGCGATTGCTTTTGCTTGGAATGGCCAGGCTGAACTGGGGAGGTGTGAGGGATCTGCTGTGGGAGAGGGGCTCTGTCTGACTCTCTGGGCTCGGCTCCCTGGACTCGGGCCGGCTTTGATGCAGCTGTGGTGAGCACGGCCAGCGTTTACCTGGTGCTTGCCTGGAACGGAGCCCTGTGTGAATGCCATGCAGGAAGAGGGACTCTTCTGTGTCACCCGCTGCAGCCTTGGCGCTGCTACACATGACACAGAAGAAATTTAAGGTGCTGGTAGTATTAACCTACAAAGCCATCAACAGCTTGGGTCCTGGATACCTGAAGGAGCTCCTTCTTCCCTGTGTGCCTGCCCACCCTTGAGATCTGAGGCAGAGCTCCTTCTCCGGGAGCCCTCCTTGAAGGAGATTAGGAGGGTAGCTACCCGGAGAAGGGCCTTTTCGGTGGTGGTGCTCCGACTGTGGAATACACTCCCCAGAGAGGTTCGCCTGGTGCCGACGCTTTATTCTTTTCGGCGTCAGGCAAAGACCTTTTTATTCTCCCAACATTTTAACATTTTATTGGTTTTACCTTTGTTTGTATCGTTAATGGTTGGATGCAGTTTGTTGACTGTTGGAATGTTGTAGGTTTTTGTTTTGTTTTGTTTTTGTAAGCCATCCAGAGACTCTGGTTTTGGACAGCATATAAAAACTATAAATACATAAAGTTGCTGTCAAAGCAATCTTCATGCCATGAGACTTCATGGACTTCCTCGCAGCTCAGCTCACTTTCCAAGCCAGAGCAGAGCCAAGCATGAGAAACAGTCTTGTGAGGGAAGGATTCCATGGCATCATAGGCTAAACTCTTGCCCCCTCCAGAGCTGGAAGCCCACACCATTGGAATACAACGGCTGAAAACACCGTGCTCTGGTCCAGAGGGGAGTCTCAAGAGTGGGACTCGGCTTTGCAAGCCAACTCCATTAAGCCTCCCACACAACTCCCTTCGCCACCTTGGAAATATGCTTCCTTGCCCCAAACTGCAAAAACACTAGCGCATGAGCGCGCAACACCACTGGGCCTGCGCGAGAGCATGTGGGAGCCCAGAGAAGACGTTCCGTTCATTGCAGGGGAGGAGTTCTCGGTGGATTGTCCCCTTGGGGTTTCAACGGAGTGCACCCACATGGAGAGACGTCCGATTCAAATGCGATGCGTGAAAACAGCCTTCCCCGAATCGGTCCCCACAATTCCTAGAGCAGTACGATCTAACGGGAATCCCCAGTGTCCAGACAAGAACCCAGAGCAAAGGAAGCTCAATGCAAGGGACAGACCGCCCCAAGTCGGACCCGGCGTTACTCACCTTACCGCATATGTCATGCATCGCTACATGCACAAAGATGGATGCCTCCTCCATTCCTTCCAGGTAGACGTGTCGATAGCCTGAAAACAGAGGAAAGAGGTGACCGGCTTGACGCGTTCCTGCAGCACATGGAGCTGGGGGGAACCAGGAGGCCGTGTTGCCCAGCTCTGTCCCGCAGAAGGCCCCCTGTCCCCTCCCATCCCCTGGTCCTGCAGCACATGGAGCTGGGGGGAACCAGGAGGCCGTGTTGCCCAGCTCTGTCCCGCAGAAGGCCCCCTGTCCCCTCCTATCCCCTGGTCCTGCAGGAGAGCCACATCTGAGGAGGGGTGGGTGGAAGGTGGATGAAGAAGGGGAAACAGGTTGGGTGGGGTGGGAGTGCATGGAACATAACAGGCAGGAGGGACAGAGGGACAGGAGAGCTGAGAAGAAGTTTCTAGGTTGGAGGTGAGGGGGATCTCCAAAGCGCAACCTTGGATTCACATGAACAAGAAGGGAGGAAGTGGGCAGGGGCACTCTGTTTGCTCTCATTTTTGTTCCTTCTCCTTCCACTGTCCCCAGAAAGGAGGTTTTGTGCTGTGGGTTCTCCGTCATGGTGCTGGCTTAGCATTGCCAGGTGTTGGTGACGTCTGGGCCTCTAGACATGCACCATGGAGTGGAGGCTTGCCAAGGTTTTCAGCAAGCCATATTCCTCCAGGAGGCAGAGAGAGCAAGAGGACAACTCCACCGTGAGCTCCACGCAGCTGGGAGCTAGGTAAGCCAGCCTCTATGGAAGTTCCTCTGGACGCTGGGGTGAGGACCCTGGGCTCTGGAGAGGTCTTCTCCCTGAACTGCTAACTCGGGAAGGGCTTGTGTGGAGGATGAGGTGATGGGGCCACAATCCTCTCAGGACAAGGGCTTGGGGTGCTCGCCTGCTGCAGAGGAGTTGTGGGCACAGGGAAGGATCATGGAGACAGGTGGCGGGGCAGCCAGAAATGCTTCTCTGGCTTGGGTTTGGAGCTGACCCAAAGAAGGCCTCGGGGGCTTCCAAAGTCTGTCCTTTGAGGCTAGGTTTGCGGATTTGCCGAGGTTGTTCCTGAGCCTCGTCACACAACAGCTTCGCTGGCATCTCCAATCTGGGGGGTTCCATGCTGCACATTCACACATGGCTGGTCATGCCGGAAAAAGCATTTGCGAGGAGGAGACTCCAGTGAGGCCTAAGCACAGGAACCAGCCGAAACAAGACTGCGCAGAGAGCAGCAAAGGCCTTGGGTTGCCAAAGGGGGATGAGCTCCAAGGGTGGGCGGCTTTGCTTTGTTCCCAGAATGTCCACTTCACCCTCGGCCATTAATTAACGCAACCCCTGCTCTGTTTAGAGCGCAAAGCTCCAGCTTAGCAAGCGACACAAATGTCACCCAAACCAGGGTTGGAGCTTTCCAGCAATCCCGTTTCCCCCCACTTTTTTTATCCCTCGATTTGCCTAGGAAGAGGCCCACTTCTGGAGCTCAGAGCCAACCCTCGCTGCCTGATCATCAAAGAACCCTATTCTTCCTTCGTTACTGCAGCTGTCAATCCTAGACTTTCTAATTGATTCACAGTTCCCTCAGGAGCCATTATTAATGTCATAATCAGAATGTCTTTTGTTCCTTCTTTCTTTTTTTAAAGCCTGATGGATTCTTTCCTCCTCTTGAAAATCTTTTCCCTTGCCAAGTTTCCTCTGCTTTGAAGAAGATGGAGAACAAGGAGAAAAAATAGAAAAACATCAACACAGGCGGCTTTTATCTGAATTGGGAGGGCACAGAGAATGAGAGAGAGAGCGAGAGCGAGAGAGAGAGAGAGGAAATGGACAGAGGCAGGAGAAAAACGTGTTAAAAGCCTCTGGATTTTGGAGCCACCAGCTTGCTTTTAACATGATAGGAAATGATTGTGGCCGCTAGTGAACTGCTAACAAAATGAAACCAGAAAAAGACTTTGGTTCCTTTCAGAAAGGACTTTGAAGCTTACCCCATTGACTGCAAAATCTCTCCTCTCAATCTGATGTTTTACAAATTGGAAGCTAGCAAATCTAATTGCCAAGTAAGAACATACCCATCATTACGCAGGAACAGGGAGAATAGCTTTGGTTCACATTTTAATGCTAACTTACCCAATACTGGCTTCTCAACTCAATATGCAAATTAAAACACAGCTCCTCTTTAAAAATCACATTATTCCAAATTTTGCAATGCAATTCTCCAAACAAAAATGAATAGGTAAGCACACATATTAGCGGGGAGTGTAAACTGAAACGTATTTGTTAATGAAAATGACATGCAAAAACATTTTTTGTGACGTAATTGTTTCCAAAAATGCATACATTAGAAGCAACACACCTAAAATGTGCATGGATTAATTGCAGACTTGACAAAAGGAAGATTTAGACACTGATGTGGAAAGAGAATGAAATGAGTTTCAGGCTGGGAAAATAAGGAAAGGGGCAAAACAAACACAGGAAGTTTTGTGTATTGCAAACATGATCAGCAGTTGAAGAGAAGGAAGGAAAGCAGAGCTAAGAAGTTGCAGGGAACGCACACTACCTGTCGTGACCCCTCCGTGGAGGTCAGTCACCTCCAACTGACTCCAAGTAGACTGCTCCCCCCCCCCCCCGCCTGCCCCACATCTATAGGGATGGAAGCTGTTCACAAAAGCAGGAGATGGCTTAGGCACGCCACAGGGTTAAGTCTTACATCTGTCCCAAATTATTGTGGTTTCTCTGCTTGCTGACCGCTTTCCCAGAGCACGTGATGGAAAGCACTGAGAATCTAAGTTGCTTATATTTACATAGTCCCGCCCTGTCATTTGCCTGGTCACACCTTCACGGGAGCAGCTGAATTTTCCGTGCATCACATGGTGGCACTGGAAAAGGTGTTGGCTCTGCTGAGGAGAGCTTAATGACTGACGTGGGCTGAATCAGCATTCGTAGCTCCAGAACTCCCATCTCGTTGGGCTGCTATGGATCCTGTGCTTATGGGGAATGCAATGGATCCCAACTGGAGTGCCACAAGCCGGCCTCGATCATTAATGGTTCTCAACTACAGTCATCAACTAATCCTCCATTCTACCACTGTTGTTTGCTTGTGTATTATTTGTGTATTATTTTCTTCCATGGTGGGACCCAGAGTGGCTACATGCCGCTTTTGGGGGGATCCCCCTCCAAGCACTGACCAGCCCTTGTCCTGCTTAGAATCACCATGGCGGCTGCATCATGTGCCTGAAGTCCATACCCTGGAACTTCAAAACAGACAAACAGACAAAAAAAAGGGGGGGGGAACCACCATCTTACCTGGCATGATGCTTGGGAATGCTATCGTCCTCTGCCCAATAAAATCCCTTCCAATGGGATCGTGATCCCACACCAGAAAGCGAACCAACACAATCTCCGGCATACAGATGGTAAACACCAATGTTTCCTCCCACATCGGATTGAAGCCTGCAGAGCAGAGAGTTGGCAGTCTATTGCAGCTGGGAGGGGGGACTTTGGAAGAGAGGCAATGACTACTTATCGACAGACACCGTGGTTTCCCCTCCTGGCTGTGTGTTTGTGTATGTGGGATCCTGGACCTTTCCTTTAACTAACCTTAGCAGGTTTCCATGGAGAGCAGGAACACTTGCTAAACACTAAGACAGGTGTTCAGGCTCTGGCCATCATGTGCAGCCTTGGAGCAGCCGAAACCCCGACTGAGAGATTCCTCCCATAGTTTGGCTGAACATGACAGTGCGCCACCAACAATGCACTGGAAATGGTTGCGGGATGAGCATGGCTTTGCACCACCCTGTGCTCTACACATAAATAATTGCGGGATCCAGAGTTTCCAGAGGGTTTGCACTCCTCTGAAATGGAAGAGATTGCCTTGGGAATCAGTGATGTTCCTTTGTCAAGGACTGTGAGCAGAAGCTGGAGGGGCATCTCTCAGAAAAGCTACAAGAAACAGCTTTCCGTCCTCAGGAGAAGGCCAGACTAGATGGCCTCTTCGATTCTACAAACAGCATCAGGGGAAGGTCCATTTTGCACATGGTCTGAGGCCAAGAGGGCAGATGACACAGAATGGACAGCGGAAGAGGGGGGAGCGAAAGCCTCACCGTTGTCATCGACGACCCTTGTCTGTTCTTTACAGCAGTCCACCGGCAATCCAATTATTTCCACTTCCACAAATGGATCTATAATCTGGAAAAGAGGAGACAAGAGAGCAATTACCTGCACATACAGGGATGAAACCAAAGAGTTTGCCCTGAAGGCTGTCCTGTGATATTCTGCTCAGCACTTCTGACAGATAATGACTTTTTGGCTTTTGAAATAGGCATTTCCCAGCGCAATCTCTCTCCCGGATTTTTGTAATGTGGAGGTACCAAGGAGGGACCATACACCGAAGGAAGCACTTCCCTTGCCTCTCCAATTAACAAGGAGTACACACAAAGTGTTCAGGACAATTAAAAAAAATTCTCTCTCCTCTTCCAGTCATCCATTCATAGATCCGAATAAGACTGCCAGTTAAAATTTCAAGTTTTCCCACTATTCTCTGATGTTCAGAAGAAAACAAATTGCACAGTAAAAGCTTTTTTAAAAATATTCCTCTTTCCAATTAAAAACAGCAGCAGTGGCGGCGGCAACAATGACATGCAGTGGCGAACCTGTCCGTTTTGCTTTCTCCCTGATTTGAACATTTCAAATCACAAATGTTTTCTCTTCTGAATATGAAGCAATTTGCAAATCTGGGGAAACTCACATAAGAACTGAACTGCAGGACAATTCTTGCCCATCTGCCCAGGCCAAATTCAACAAGTGCAGCTATATTCAACAGGTGCAGTCATACTGAACGTGGAGAGGACTAAGGTGTACCTGCTGAAGATGGCCAGGGCAAAGAAAAAGCTTGCTTCAGCATCACCAGTGTAACTGAATTCAACCCCTGGTTTTTAAGGGCAAAGTTCTGCACATGGATATGTGAGCCTGTCTTTGAGTTTCTCCTACATTTGGGAGTTTTTAACATCTCCAATTCTTTCTGTCAGACATGGAGAATGTTGCAGATTTGGGAGAAGTCGAATCAAAACCGAACGAAATGAAATTCCTACCCACCCCTAACAGAGGATCTCTCCAGGGGGCACTGTCCACTCTTGAAGCACTGTGAGTGGGGAAAGCCCTACCCCGAGTCACATGTCAGATCAAAATGTTGCCCGGGAAGTTGAATTAGCACATTGGCTAGACAGAATTCAAGAAGGGGGCGCTGGGCAGGATTCGATCTGGTTGAGGGCAGGAGCTACCGAGACATGCATCTGGGATGGAGATGTTCAGCATGTGTTTTGCACCCAATGTCAAGAGGCAAGCAGCACTTGGAGTGGAAACTCAACCGTGTTTTTCCCTTGGCGGGCCAACTCACAGCCGCGGGGAGGGGAAGAAATTGGCCAGGGGGGCTCCATCAAAAACATTCACACCCCAAGACAAAGGCTGGAAGTGCAGGCGAAGTGCAAACAGAGCCAAGAGAGGCTCTCCAAGAAGCCCCATCCAACTTGGAGAACCGTCTTAGCGGTCTATGTGGATTTACAGTGAAGTGGCGGGTTTTTAACTTGGCTCCCCTTTGGAGGTGTCTTTTTAGCTTCTTTCCAGAGAGATGCCGTGAATAGGGACCTGTCGCATTGATTGAATATCTTGGCAGTGCGTGGCTGTCTCCCCAAAGGCACCCTCCGGACAATACATCAAATCCGGCTCTTTTCTCACAAAGAGAGAGGCCAAGCACCTGCTAGACTCAGGGAACAAAACCGGTTGCATAATCTGCCCACAAACGAGGCCACAAGATGGCTCTTCCCTGCACTTAGAAGGGGCAGCAAAGATGAAGAAACCTTTGCTGACTTTAAACAACCTAGAGAACAATTCAGCTCTTTTTTTTAAAGCATGCCAGTGGTAAAGCACATTCACGCTCTGGTCTGTCTGTCTCTTTCTCTGAGTGGCTGCATTCAGACATCACAGGAAGCCAGCCTTGGTGTGAATTCTGGCTTGCTGGTACCCCTGTCAGTTGCTCCCGCTTGACTCTTGTTTGCAGGGGCGGCCAAACTGGCCATGGACTCTTCTTCCATGGTTTGATGGGGCTTCCAGAGCTGGGTTGCTCTCCAGATGGCTGCCACATCGCTCAGCGGCTTGTCAGCACAAAGCACCGTTCCTCCCTCCAGTTCCATACCTCTCCTCGGTCTCCAAGCATGGAATCCCGGGGCTTTGGGAGCTGCTGTCCACTGATTATTCTTAAGACAAGCTGCTTCTTCATCTGGCCAAGCAGTGGATCTTCAGAATTTGGGTTGAAGATCCCTGGAAGGGGTTCACAGAACAAACACAGAGATTTAAGGCAGTGTGGCGTCAATTATTCATTAAAAATGTGTGTGATTCTATCTCCCTCTGGAAGCATCAGCCCGTCAACATTGGAAGCTGTCTCACTCTGACGTTGTCTAGCCAAATACTTTTTACTTGCAATGGCAGCCGCTGTCCTCCGTCTTGCTAGCATCAGCCACTGGTTCTTTCTGTTGGTGAGGACAGAGACAAATCTTGGAAGTTTTGTCTTGCACCCTGTATATGTTGCCAGCAAGCTATGAATATATGCAGCAAGATTCCTTTCAAGCTCAATGGAATAACTCCAGTCATTTCCCTCTTTTAAAAACACAAATATCTCTCTCCACTTATCACTAAAATCTTCTCAAGTAAGAAGGTTGCAAAATAGTTCTCATAGCAATAACACGAATGCGCCTTTTATGTTATCTCAGTGTACCAACCGTGCATTGGTTATCTTATAAATTCATTTAAAATATTTATATTCTGCCTTTCATTGTCAAACCACAGAGCAGCATACAAAATGCTCTTTGAAAAGCCAATTAAAATAAAATGCAACAATAAAAACCGCAACAAGGAACAGATGCCTAACTGGGTATTAGCCAGCCTGCCTATGCACACCTGGCCTGATGCTGCAGGTCTCTTCATAGGGTCTTAAAGGAAAAGCTACCAGTCCTCATGGCCACTTACTGCCTCCTGTGCATACATCAACAGGGGAACATGGGTGAGGGAGTGCTGTTGAACGCAGACCCTGCTTGTAGCTGTCCTGGGAACAGCTGGTCAGTCGTTGGGAGGGTAGAAGCGATGGGTCCTTGACCGGATTCCCGCTCCATTCAGCAACTGCCTGGATATACAACTGACCTTCCACCACATGGCCTATTCACCACCATGGACGGTGCCTGCCTCACAACTGGGGGTGGGGCAGAATTCCAACGCCGGGGGGCCAAAGCAGAAGAGGCCCTCCTGCCAGTTTCCAACAGATCGAGCAGGAACAGGGCATGAGGCAACCGCGAAGCTTCGATCTGTAGATCTGAGTAAGAGGCTAAAGACGGGTTTCCAGGAAGAAAGATGTAGTTTGCCAAAGCAATCTTAAAAAAAAACCCAGATCCTTTCAGCATTCATTCCCTGCATTAACGCCTCTGCCCAGAACTAGGATGCCTCCTCCTTGCTTACATCTCAGAACATTTTACTCCTTCCCAGCGACCTTCCACCTTCCCCTTCCCTCTGTCATAGATTGACAGGGACCCTGCTATGGACTGCTGTCTAGAACTGACCAGCTCGCATTTATTCCACTTGGTTAAAAACTCAGAGCGGGGGGTGCACTAATTGGGGGGAGCAAAGGCCAAAAGGTGAGGCTTCGGAGGCATTTGCCTGGCTCTCCATGCTTACTTCCCTTTGCATTTATTTATAACTCTTCGGTGGAGCGGGGGGAATGAAATGTCAAATTCTGGAACTCTTTGTCCTGCAAGACTGAGTTGCACTCCTTTCCCTACAACATTTCTCTGCATGCCAAAGGTCTTTTTGTTTGGGCAGAATTCATTCTTGCCAGATAAAACAGAGGGACCAGATTTTTAAAAAAACCCAAAAACAATGCCCCCTTTTCCCATCAGCTGCACATGTCTCTGTTTTCATTTTCTTTCATTTTTCATCTTTCATTTTCGGAGCATTATCCTGTTTCATTCCTGTCAGTCACTTCTGAGGGATGTGTGAGTGATTTAAATCTTCCCATAAATAACACAAAGGGATGTAACACCCCCCCCCACCCCCCACAGGTTGTAATAGTCAGGAAATTTACTGGCAGTGGTGAAAAACAGGTAAGTGGGGAGGAGAAATAAAGATGGTGGAGTGCAAGCCAGAGGAGATGCTTCAGCATCTTGAGTTCTCTCAGCCACATGCCTCATTAGATGTTGCCCGTGCATTTGAAAAAGTATTGTCACAAAGGGGAGGCAAATCACTTTGCAGGGATTAAAGCAAAGGCTTCTGAATGGATTTATGCATGAAGCTACTTCAGGTCTGAATTTGCCTGGTAGATCAATTGCTGGGTCTCTTTGCCTTCTGAAATAGGACAGCTGGTGAGTGGTGTTATGAGCCCATTTTGGAGATCAGCCTCTCCTTGGTGGACCTCAAAGCCTCCCAGGCAGAGGGCAGAAATCCAGGAGCTGCTATGCTGATATGTATCTGATTAGTTCCAGGTTTCATCTCCACCAAGAGCGGATCTTCTGCAAGCTAATGGATCTTAATTGCTCCTTCCCAGAACAAACTGTCAGGCACTTTGCATTACAATAAAGAACAATGTGTTGTTGAAGAGTCATTTCTCCCAAGAAATGTGAAGATGGTGGCTGATTTCAGAGGGGTTTAAAAGATCTTGGGGAAGAGAGCACTGGGGCTGCAACCTTACAACTGGGAGGTTGAAACTCCCTTCCCAGAAAGACTCACCTGGTGCTAGTTGGAAAAAAACAAAACAGAACCCTTTTTCTTTCCCAGGATACATTAAATTGTTTCAGCCTATAAGCACAGAATAATATGTTGTTATTCTGTTCTGTTCCTCTGCACTTTTTGCGGGTAAATGCATTTGAGTGGGAACAGACACTTGTGTGCATATAATTTATTGAGAATTACAATTGTTTTCATGGTTCTTATTTTGTAAGTGGCTCTGGGACTTCTGGCTGAAGAGTGAATAGAAGGCTCTGGATTAAAGCAAATAACGTTGCTTCTTTCAGGAAAAAAAAGGAGGATAGAAATAAAGAGAAAAACACTAGCTTGTTTGGCAGATCATTTGAAGGTAAGGAAAAAAAATGGATTCTTCCGAGACTGTGATGAGATAAGGGAAAACAAGGAGCATACAAACAGAGCTGCCAGAGAGAGAGAGAGAGAGAGAGAGAGAGAGAGAGAGAGAGAGAGAGAAGAAACCTGTCTGCAGAAAAAGGCTGCAGTAGGATTTAATTTAATCTGAGTCCAGGGGCATACAGACATCAAGACAAGGAAGCACTGTGTTAAGCCGCTACTAAGGCCAACCCAGCACCTCCCCACAGGAAAACATTTAGCCCTGAATTGTTTTATCTGCCGTGTGCAGGAGAGCTGATAAGAAGTATCAAAGAAAAGAGAAAGTCCGGGAGATTCATCAAAGGTGAGAGCCACAAAGCAGAGGAGGGTGGCGCAGGTAAAGATGAAATGACACCTGAGCCTCATTCAAGAGAGCTGGCTAATGCCTTGACCTGTTTGCTGGAGCGACTTTGGCCACCAAATTCTCCTCTGCAGACGTGGAAGCCTAACATTCTCCAGATGTTCTCAGAATACTCTAATACTGCCTGAGCCTGCCCTTCCCAGACTGATTGCCTTCCACAGGTTTTGGACTACAATCCCTATAAGCCCCAGCCTGCACAGTCAAGAAAGAGAAATAGTGTGAGTTCTGACACAACATTTATGGTGGACACCAGGTTGGAGAAGGCTGGCCTCAACAGAGAGCCAAGATCTGCGTGTCCATCCAGCGAGATTAGAAATCCGCGCCTGAAATGAGACTGTTTCAACACTTCACACGACATGCCATGCACTAGTGGCTTGAACTCGTGTTTGAACATATCTGAAAGTTGTTCACATATCCAATCCCTTCCCAAGCCAAACGCCATGCTAAGTTAATGGTGGATGCAATTTCACACTGGGTACCTACTGAAAGTGCAACTGAAGCTAGGCTTGTGAAGAAACCCGATTTTCATTCCCATTTCTGTGTTTTAGGTGTGATCTCGCAATCAAAATGCAAGTTCTAATTTGATGTTCAAATATCTAACCAATGGGGTGGGCGTGGGGAATGTTGTAAAGGGTTTGCACACCAAAACACACAAAAAAGGTCTATGGGTCCCACCATATTGGATAATTTCTGGCCAGTCTCATTTCGGTTTCAATTTCAGTCTGAATTCCATTCTTGGGCAAGGTGATGCGGGATGAAGTGGGATTTAAACTTCAGCAGGTTCTGGATAAAAACCTAACCATTCTCCATTCTGGCCTTCAGTGTGGTTTTGCCATATTGTAGCATGGGGTTAATGAATGCATTCATTTGTTAATCAGTTTCAGTCACAAAGTTAATCCATTGGAGATCAAAACATTTAGATAGAACTATAAAGGTCAAGTAGTTCAGCCCAGGAAACTGGATATTTAAACATTCAGCCAAACTAAACCAGAAAAGAGAAGAGAAAGACAAAAGGGGAGGCAGCTAAGGGGGCAAGAAGTTATAAAGTTCAACTAGAGTGTGAAAAAAGGGTTATTCTAGGAAGTAGAAACATAGCACTTTGAGGACCGGAGAGGTCAAAAAAGCACCAAGGGAAACAGACTTCCCAAATAGCCCCCTATTCTCCAGACACGGAATGGCAATTATGGGTTGGAAAAGGAAACTGGAATATACGTGCATTAATGCTCAAGGAGTATCCCTGTAGGAAGGCACGGTTGGAACTTGGCACAGGACATGCTTCTGCTGGAATGTGGGAAGCCATGACATCTTGCTGCTGTAGCCCTGGCTTGCAATAATGACCACACGGGCTCCCGTGGCGAGCACATTTTGAGCTCTGGCTTTTTCCTTACCTTGACACATACACCTGGGCTTGAGGACGTAGCCGCAGTTCCCATTGGCACTGAATTTGGCGCGGTTGAGCTGCAGCATCCTCCCCTCGGACTGGTAGTTTAGTGCGACTGCAGTTCCAAAGGTGGTGGGGGGAGAAAAGCAACCGATAAATTGTGGGTGGCATTTACAAGGCAAGTGGGTCAGCTCGAAATGAGACAGAGCTACTTCTGAAAGCAAAAATGAGTGACTGCGTCCTGTCCTTGAGGCCAGGTGCCACAACGCTGAGCGAGAGATAATTTTTTCCTCCTTATTCTTTGGTGTCGTGTCTAAAATGAAAGGCAAGGTGACATTGTGCCATTTTTCTCCCACTGAGGTGTGGAGCTGAATCATCCCACTGCAAAAGAGGGGGGAAGCACCCCCTGGAAATGTACATGGAAAATGGGGGGCACACCCCCCCCAGCTTCAAATCCCCAGAAGACTAAAGAGCTAGAGCTTGCAAATTCAGCTAGGAACAGTGGGCAGCTCCGTTCCACGGAGGATCAGATGACCCAGGTAGGATCCAAAGCTCTTGAAGAATGCAAGAAGCTCACGGGAGAAGAAGTAAGGTGAGAAGGGGGCTGCCATCCCCCACCCCACAAATGGAAATAACAGGCAGACAGCTCTGGGTTTTATGAAGTGTTGTGAACTTCAAAAGAGCTTTGGCTATTGGGTGGTGTGGAAATGAGGGTTAATGATAGGAAGAAGTCTGGATCTAACCATTAACTTCAGTCCTGTACAGGTCTACTCAGAGTTCAGTGGGATTCACTGTGAAGTAAGCGATGGAGGATTGTCGCATTCATGAATAAAGAGGGGGCATCACCCATCTTTTTGGGCAAGTGAGGAGGAGGAGGAGGAGGAGGAGAAGGAGATGGGAGTGCTCCATCTCCTGGGGCCTGATCCACATCCTGGCCCCCAGAAGAATGGTCTGGCCATGTGGAGCTCTCAGGGTGCTTGTCAAGGGCAAGCAGGTAAACAGGCTGGGATGAGAAAAAACCATGGACAGCTCCTCCAGAAAGCTGGCCATGACAGTTCCCAGGGATCCCAGTTGCTGATAGTGGGGTGGGGAGAACCCTTTTGTGCCATTCCCCTGGGGGGGGGGGGGTCGTCTGTTGGAAGCCACATGCTCACAGAGGGTGGGGGGAAGCCATGTGCCCCAAATGAGTGGTGATGCCCTTCTCTCTCTCTCCTTCCTGCTTTCTGCCACCCTCTTCTGCTTGCTGATTCTGTCTTGCCCACCAAGCTCCAGCGGAAGCGTTCTTGCCAAACATCTGAATGGACAGCCAGCAAGGGTCTACAGAAATCAGATCCAGGGCTTGGATAGGTGGCGGTGGCATGCGCCAGTGTGGTGTGGCTGTTTGGGTGTTGGACTGAGGACCTGGAAGATCCAAGTCCTCGTGCATCCACGACGCTTCGTGGGTGACTTTGGGCCAGTCACTCACTCTCAGCCTAACCTACTTCACAGAGCTGTCCCAACTCCCTTGGGTTCCTCACAATGGGATAAAAGAAGGGATATAAACGTAGCAGGTGCAATTATAACCGTCCCCACCACCTTCGATTCGGGGACCCCTGGTGGAGCAGAAGCAATGTTCCCTACAGGGAATGGGTGAGAAATGGCCAAGAAGTTGTTGGCCACCAAACTTTTGGGAGAACTTCCTATGGTACAAGTTGCTTCACAGCGTGACAGACGGACTACAACCTGGTGAGCTATCCCTTGCTGGAGGGACTTCAGCAGAAGCTGGGCAACCCCCAGGCAGGAATACCTCAGAGTTCTGCACTGAGAAGCAGGTCGGAGTAGTTGACCCCACGAGTCCTTCCCAAGGAGACGATGCTACGAGTCTTCCTTACCCAATTGGCAGCCAGCATTCCAGAAGGGCTGAGGGTTGTAATTACTGGAGTCCACCCGGTAGGAGGAAGGATAGATGCGGGACAGCTGGTGTTGGTTGAAGTGCAGGTATTGGGCCGGTTTTTGCTGGAGTATCTGGTGAGCTTTCGTTTCACTGAACGAAGACACTTGCCAACTGGAAGAGACTGAAGGGAAAGCAGCGAATGATGTTTCCTCTTTGACCAACCCTCCTTCCAACTCTATGACTTACAAGTTCCCCTGCTCTGGGAAACTGTATCTTTTTGGAATATTTGGGTATGTAGCGAGTGGTGCTCTGGCGAAGGGAGAGGGTTCCAGCATTAAGGGTTCTATGAGTCTCAACAAGGCAACTGTATCTAAATTCCTAACGTAGAATAAACTATTTCTTGCTCCTTGCCGTGCAATTGAAAAAGTATTCTGCATTCATTTCCGTGCAGTCCTTTCCTGAAAGAAAGACCCATTGAACTCACTGCAAGATATTTCTGCATAGACTTGCAAATAAATACATAATTAAAGGGGCAACTCTCTAATCGCTTAGCTGAACAGATGTCCTGCTAGAATAATGGAACTCATTTATTTAGGTGAGTTGCATCGCTGAATTCAATAGGATGCATTTCTAGGCAGATATGCGTCAAAATGGCAAAGTGGCTTCAAAACCTGGTGCAGAATATGGACTTTAACAAACAGTCCTGTTTCGAAATGCAACTTTTCTTTCCAAGTCTGCCACCCTAAGCACTTTTACCATGGCGTACACCTCACCAAGCTCAGTGGGACATCGAAGCAAACATCCGTAGGACAGCACCAGAAACCAGAAAGACGACCTACAGTTTCTCTTCTTATAGCGTATTTTGTGGTACTTACTTTCAGATTCTACATCATGGATTCCAACAGATTTGGTATATTTTACCAGGTCTGACAGTGCCCGGGATAATTTCATGGTTTTCTTCTGCCGGTTTGTTCTAGGAGGAAAAAAGGTTACCCTCACTAATTCTGATCTGAGGGAGAAACGGATCAACCTATCATCTATCTTTTCTTCTTTGAAAAGATGAAGGTGCGCAGAGAAAAGAAACCCTCGACAAGAAGAAAGGAAGATGAGAGAATCACAGAAGAGTTGGAAAGGGCCAAAAAGGCCATCGGGTTCAACCCCCTGCTGTTGCAAGTCACCAATTTACACCATCTCATTCCAGAAGCAAACCCTCATGCTGTTACCACTGAACTGAACGAAACATGGAATGCCGCCTTTTGGAACCTGGTCGGAAAAGATTCCACTCTTGCAGACGTTATGCTGAGCTTCTGCAACCATGGAAATGCATCTTTATTCCACTGGTCCTGCTTTGACCTCCCACTCTAGCAAATCCTGCCCACGGCATTTTGAGTTCTAGTTTTTGGTCTCTGCTTCAAAGATGCGCTCGCTAATTACAAAGCCTACTAATGCCTTTTCTTTCCCCTCTGTCTCCATCTCAGCCGACCAGGTGCAGGTGCGATCGAGGAATCGGCCCTTTCAGGCCAGGTCAGGGGGGCTTGGCACACACCTGCTGTGAGTGAGAGTGTTTCCCGGAACACGCTGCCACTTACTTGCTGTAATGCACGGACCCTCTAGCTAAGTTCCCCTGAAGGTCAAGGTCTTCCTCACCATCTTCTGGACTCGACACCCTTTTCAGCTTGCTTCCTTTTTTCTGTGTGAATAGAGAGAGACACGCGGGATGAAGATATGCCGCAGGTGGAACTCTGCATCACGCTGAGATGCCGGATGTGTGTTCTGGTAACGTACCACTTGGCGTACGCGACTCCTTGGAAAACCCGCAGGGAGAACCTCACCTTCTCTGCCCAGCTTTCAGCTGGAAAGGCCCTTGCTTAGATAGGCACAAAAGCACTGTTGCAGCCGGCTTGGGAGAAGCCCTGGGACTTGTGGAAGCACAAGAAATCTTCAGGGGGAAACCCTGAGAGGTAACGCCCCCTCCCCATTTATCCGGAGGCCACGCTGAGCGTGCAAAGCACGGGCGCAAGAGTGCCTCCAGCTGCCACGTGGCACTTTCTGGAACTGCCGCAAGAAATACCCCAGAGGGCAGCAAAGAGGATTCTGAGACCTGGTTCGCCCTGCGGTTGCTTTCACTCTTGACCTGCCCCACTTTCTGAAAAGCGGTCCTTTGGAAAGCACGCTCTTCTTTGTGCACAATGTACACACGTGCCCAAACCAAAATCCCCACAGAGAGAGAGAGAGGGAGAGAGAGAAGAGGCCCATCTCCAGGTATCCCCCACACCCGGTATTCCCACTCCTCTCTCTGTCCTCCCCACCACATCCACTGGCCCCCACCAACCCCCTCCACCCACGTTCTGGCTTCCTCTTTTGCCCCAAGCTCCATCTTTCTCCTCCCTGAGATCCCTGCCACCCGCCTCTAGGCTTTGCTTTGCAGATGCCTCCCTTAAAGGGAGATGTTCCAGGTGAGCTGGTAGTCACCTGTGCCAGAGCATCAGCGGTGGCCCTCACAGCCACCTCAACCAGAGTGCTGCACGTAGAGGAACCCCCACCCCCAACGCCACCACCTTGAATTGCAGCGTTGGGTCCGGCTGGCTGTCCAGAGGGTCCACCTACCCAGCCCCTCTGCCAGATGGCCCACCTACTCAACCCCTCCAGAAGGATCCTCGGAGGAAGCCATGGGGCAGGTGGGCAGGGTTGGGGAGGCATGGGGGACCTTAAGGGGTGGCCAGGCCCAGAAAAGCGGTGTTGCTTGGAGAGCTACGGCTATCCAGGGAGCCCTTGTGGCTAATGGAAATGTTGTAATAAATAAATAAATAATAAATAATGGGGCGAGCTAAAACTCTAACAAACAAATAAAAAAATGGAAGAGGAGGCCAGCAAAATACATACAGCAAGCACTTTGGGGAAAGAACCTGCCTTTTCTCCTTATGATGTTCTCTAAAGGACAGTTTAGAATGACACTCTTGTAACAACAGACAACAAGCAACAAGTAACACCATTTGAGGACAATAATTAGCTCAGCATGGATTGGATTAATGTTCGGCACCCCCTACGTTTGCTTGCTTCTCTGGGGGGTCAGAATTCAGCCAGCACAGACCAGAAACAGCTGTTCGGGATGTGATCCCTTACTGGCTGGGAGCTACTCGGAAAGCAGACAGGGAGAAGAAAGACAGCTTTGGAAAGGGGGAAACAACGGCAACATTTGCACCTTTGTGCCGTTCCCACAAGAATGTGAGGGATTTTCAGAAATTTCTGTCCATCCTGCACTGAACAGTTCAAGAGGAAAATAGGGAAATGCTTTCAGTTACTCCAATTAAAGAGCAGAAGAGGAGAACAGGTGCATTGTTAAAGATATGCTGGAAACCCACATGGGGCATCATTTTTGAATGCATCTCAGCTTCTGCCCTGAGGAAATGTGATTAAGAAAAATAAGCTGTAGCTTGGAATCTTTTAAGTGGCGCCCACGCGCCACCCCCGTGAAGAGAAATTTTATAAGATATGCAATGTTTGGGCATGGGACTCGGAATGTGATCCCTTACTGGTTTCCCAGGTCTCTCCTAACTGGCTGGCAACATTCATAGCACCGTAACACCATCCCGGTCACTGACTGGTCCTTCAGGTGGGAAGGCTTGGCTATTGGAGTCGTGGACGTCCACCAAGGACCTCTCAGTGTGGGGACAGAATGGTATCCTTCTCCCCTGTAGATAAAAGAACAACCTTGCGTTTGGAAAAGCTCCCCATCAGTGACCGGCTGGGCCGTTTGGCGACAACAGCATCTTCGATGGACTCCGCGTCATCGTCATGTTTGCTCTACAACAACAAAGGACAGCAACACAACAGGGCAATCAGTCATCGGACGGACGGACAGACAGACAGGACAGCGGCCCAAGACTTGGACGTAAAATTCGTGCAAAGGCCCCAAAAGATCAACCCCAAACCGTAAAATGATGCTGCATAGCCTTGCTTGCACCTTGTTTCAAGCTTTCCGGATCTTGCTGGCACTGCAGATTATTAACTATCATCATCATCATCAACAACAACACATTTACACCCAGCCTTCCTTCCAAGGAACCCAAAACATCTGACAAGGCTCATCCCCTCCCCATTGTATCCCCACAACAACAACCCTGTGAGGGAGGCTGAGTCACCCAGTTGGCTTCATAGCCAAGTGGGATTCAGAAGCTCTCTGGATGATTCTCAAAATAATGATCAAACCCACATGATACCAAGGCTTAGTGTATATTTCAAAATGCCACTTCTTAGGGAATTAACATAGAAGCAAAACCAAGGGGCAGAAGGAAGGGTGTGGGGGGGGGCAGGGCGGGGGAGAAATGCTGTCTCATATAAAACCTTCTGGTTATGAATACGCACTTCTGTTTTATTATGGCAAATGAGATTGCTGGCACTCGGAACGAGACACCAAATCAGCTGTGTGCTTTCAGTGCTCCAGTTTCCTTGTGCCAGCGGCCAAGAGAAGCTTTGCTTCACCTGAAAGGCTCACTCACCTGGCTTCCTCATTAACTGAGCGCATTCGGCTATGGAAGCCAGAGCCATTAATAAACAATTCAAAAAGGGAGCTAATAAAACGCAAGCAAAGGCAGCGGCTAAGGACCGCTCCTTGTTCCCATTTCTAAGGTTTGCCATGTTGCATTATTCATCCAGGGTGACTAATCATCCCCTGGATTAAATGGATGCCATAAATTAAAACAAAACAAAGCAAGCCGCAAAAGAACCCTGGTGCTAATCAAAACATCGCGGTTGCAAATGCGGAGAGAAACCTCTACCAAATGGACCTCCGTGGGAAAGCGGTGGTGTATCTGCCTCATCATAAACAAAGCGAAGAGAAAACCAAGGAAGGCGCAAATTTGCACAGCCATTCCAACCTGTTCACCATAGCTGCCCACAATTTTATTTATTTAATTTATTTATTAAAACATTTCTATGTATTCGCAGGCTAGGCTGGGATGCTGGAAACTTTCCTTTGGGTCGACCTGGGGAAAAACTCTGGCCCTTGAAGGGTAAGAAGAACAGGAAACAAAAAGGAAAACTGGCCCTCAAAAGCCTTAAAAGACATAGAAGGAGGTTTTGAGGACTGCCCAACACTGGACAGAACTCACAAGCCGGTGGAACGTCTCCAGTTCCCAGGACTTTCCTCCCCTGAAGGCATCGCAGCCCGTTGTCCCCGCAGAGTCTTCAGGCTCACAGCTCCGTCAAGACACATTAGAGATTACAAAGAGAACTTGTCAGAGCCGGCTTCAGGACCTCTGGCAAGAACAGCCTGGCTCTTGCAGCACTGGCGAAACCGTGCTGGGAGGCCGGCCCTCCCACCGTCTGCACATGAGTCCCGGCCTGGAATGTGCCCGGGATGGAGACAGCAGCCTTCTGCAGTCAGGCACATGTCTTGTGTGGATCATTCCACTGTGAGAGCCACATGCCCCTTCAACTGGAAGTGGAACAGCCCGAACACAGCGTTAGCATATCTGGGAGAACAGGCCAGGCCAGTGGGGGAGCCCCGGGGGTTCTTTTCTGGGGAGGGGGTGGAGAATGTTGTGGCATAGCACCCACTTCTGTTGTCCCCCCTCCCCCCCCAGTGGGTTTCCTGGGCAGCACTGGCAAGCAGCCGCTGAGCAGTGGAGAGTGGCGTTTCAATTTCCCACAATGCTGAGGGTGGCAGGGCATTGTGGGAAAAGTAAACGATGGCTCCTCCGGAACCAGCCCCTGGCCCTGGTTCGAGCACTGGGAAAAAGTGGAAGGAGACAGTGGACACAAGGGCAGCTTGCTTGCCATGGCAGTGCAGTCTTGACGTGCCCAGGGGAACTGTGCGCTGTTGGTGATGGGTCTGATCATGACAAAACGTTCAAGATCCAAAGGGGGAGCAGGTAGCTACAAGCTCCTACCTTAACGAGCCCGTCACAGTTTGGTCTGCAAACCAACAGGAACACCTTCGCAAAATGAAAACACACGCAAAGCCCCCGTGAGGACTGGAAGAGACCACTGTGTTGGTGCAAGTTTCAAGGTCAGGAATATTTGCACTCTTCAGTTGGGCCCTGGGAAACAGGGCCTCCAGAGAGCAGGAAGGGAGAAGCGGAGGGGCTCACCTGAAGGCTGCTCACCAGGTGTTCAAGGGGGCCCAGAGAAGAGGCCGGCTATGCAAGCGCCAGGGTGGAATGGGGGGCAGGAGCCCCAACAGCCAGGTGAGAAAAGCCTGGAACGACCTGGGACCACATGCTGCCGTGGTGGGAGAGAAGGGCTAGCCAGCTGGGGGGGTGGTCTGCCCCCAAAGAGGCTGTCCCATAGATTGGGGTCCAGAGTTGCTCAAAAGGAGGGTTCTCAGAGGATGTTGCTAGACTAACAGGATATACTTCCGAGAATAACGAGCCTTAACCTTAAATGGTCTGCTGCTTTGAAAGCACAAAGGAGTGTGTGTGTGTGGGGGGGGGGGGGCGTTGACTAGCGCCATTCTTAGAGAAATGAGACCCTCTGGCCAAGAAAACTACCCAGCCCGAACAAGCAAGCAGGACTCCCTGCAATGGCTTTTCACGGTCATTCAGAGAACAGCCAGAATGTCGATGCTTCCAAGCTCAGGAGAGGGTTTTAAAAACAAGGGAGTGGATGTGTCTCCGCCCTGTGAGCTTCCCAGGCACGGGAGAGTTGCACAACCCGACGGAAGGAAGCGTGGAATGTAGGTTGGCCACCAAGGGAGCGGCAAAGCGCTGCGCGGATGCGGTAATGCACAGTGACACTCCTTGGCGCTCTTCTGAGCACTGAACCGAAGCACGGAAGCACAACAGCCCGAGTCAGTCACACACGCACCCTCTCTCCCTCTGTGATGACAACAGGAAGGGCAGGAATCGAGGCCTTCCAGGGCCGCTCGCACGGGATGGAGATCTCGAGCACGCAGAGCTGTGTTTCGAGACGTGAGGAGAGGCCACCTGTCCTGTTGGGGAGCACCCAGCAGTGCTCGGAAACCCGGGGCCCGCTTATTTGAGGAAAGATGGCAGGAGGAAGAGGCTGTCCTTGCGGCTCCAGCAGGACGTATGTCAGGTGTGGAGAAAGGGGCGTGCTGTTGGGACGAGTCCAGCCGTGCCTGAAAACGAAGCTTGTCTCCCACAATCCCCGTCAGCACTTCATGCACACCAGAGGTTTGCATTCTCAGTGACATGCCAAGGCCCGTGACCCACATGGGGAGGGCAGGGAATGCACCCCCAAAGGACCTATTTTTATTGGGGGGTCCAGTCATGAGCAACACTGCAGAGCCAGGTCAGGGACCAATGGGGCACACAGGGGCACGAAGACCAGCTCCCCCAGTCTTGTCTCATACGGCCTCCCCTGCAAACCAGTCACCATCCGAGTGGCCCTTCGCTGCACCGATTCCAATCTTGCTGCATCCCTCTTGTAATGAGGGGCCCAGAACTGAACACGATACTCCAGCTGCAGGAACAGCAGAGTTGTATAGAGTGGCAGTAACACCTCTCTAGATCTAGAAGCCACGCTTCTGGCTATGCATCCAAGGGTGGCGTTCGCCCTCCTGGCAGCTGCATCACACGGCTGGCTCATGTTTAGCCTGTAGTTGACCAGCACCCCAGGGTCCCTTTCACAAGTGCAGCTGTCCAGCCACTTGGATGCCTTTACCTGCCCTGCCAAGCACATCTGGAATTGTGGGTTGTTTACAGGTTGGGTGATCCTCAAACACATCGAGGACAAGGTCTGCGCCCTCAAATAACCACGACACAAGGTTTGCACAAGATGGTGCTGGACATTGGCAATAAGCCCCGTGGGGGAATTAAGCCATGCTGGGTCAGTGTGACTTCCCACCTGCCAATTATATGATCTTAGATCAAGACACCCTTTGGCACAATAAGTCTGCTACCAACGCAGATAGCCGTACCAAAATACAGTCACAGCCTTTAAGAAAACTACCAAATGGTGGGTGAGCTGCTGGTGCAGGCCAACTCCACTGCAAGATGCAAAATTAGCACGCCTTTCGGGTAATTAAAAGGATCAGCAAAAGGTCAACAGGGAGCAGAGCGAAACCAAAAGAGGAGAGCACTGACAGGTATGAAAAATCACTTTCATTTCTCCTCCAAGAAGTCAAAGAGCAAGGGAAGAAAGCATAATCCAAGACCAGATTAAACCTGTTGCTTTCACAGGCCTCTCCCGATTGAGTCGCTTGAGGCAGAGACTTGTCCTCCTTCCCTTTCATTCATAAACGTGGGCCAGAAATGTCTTATTGATAGGAGAGCGCTTAGAGGCCAGGGCAGAGCAAAGAGTGACATTAAAGGCAGAGAGGAATTTAGGAAGAATTCAGTCCAATTATCTCCCAGAGCATCTGCTGAAGCCACGAACCTGCCTGCCCCAAACTCGTTCTGGGAAATACAAATGCAGCCCATGCAATCTGCATTCTTGAAAATGGCAAAGGCCTGTTAGAGGTCTTGCCCGTTTGGCTCCTAGACTGGGGGTGGGGGTCAAGCTCAGGGTTGTTCGAACAGGGGAGTTCCAGCCCCACCAGGATATTCCAGGGTCCTTCCCTAGATTTTTTAGACTCAAAGCATGGCTGTTCTTTGCGAATTCTAAGAGCAGCATGCAGAAACTCGCAGAGGCTTTTGCGATAGGACGGCATATAAATATCACAAGCAAATAAAAAATAAACTTCTCCATGGCTTGGTGAAAACAACATCTTCTCCTGCCGATGGACAGCGTCTTAGGGTGCCGTTCTGCAAACTCAGGCTGCCAAGTTTCTCGATTCAGAAAGTGCTTGCACTGTTACATTGGTGCAACTGATGGCACATCCCATTTGCCTGAGTGTGACA